GAAGAGAAAAATAAGTTGCTATGCTGTGCTAAGAAGTTGTCTTAAGAAGAAACTTTACTCAGACTAAAAAAAAATCTGGATTTTCTGTCTCTGAGTTTCAGTGTTTTTCTTCCCTTTCCTTTATCAAATGGATGAAACAAGGCAGCCAGTTACTGAATTGCCTGCTCACTTTCTTCTGGTAATACTATATACATGGTATTTTGTTGCAAAATGGTAAGGAATTTTCTTTCCTGGAGAAGTTCAAGAGCTCATTCTCTTGGTTCTGTACCTGACCTAAGCTGTGCTGCTTTCCTGTCTCCACGAGCACCTCAACTGGCCATGGGCATGTTCAGCACCTGCTGCTGCCCATAGAAGTACGCCCAGGGCTCCATCCCTGTCTGTGATTCACTTCTCTGAAACACAGAGCAAATTTCAGCAAAGCCGTAAAGTTCCCCTTCCAGCAGGCTAGCACAGTGGAACACCCGGGTCATTTTTGCAGATTAGTCAGTTAAGGCATTATGGTCATTAAAGCTTTGGAACATGAACATCCCAGCTGATGGTGTGAATGACAAAGCAACCAGGGAAATGGAGAGCCAGTTCTGAGCTGTCGGGAGAGAGTGCAAGTTTATGACCATCATTGTCATTAGTGATGCAATATTCCAAAATGGTTCCCCAGGAATTCAGTTTGTTTGAACCTGGGATGATGATGTGACCAACCTCCTTCCCCTGCCTGTGAGCTCTTCCTCCACTTGGGAGGGCATTGCAAGGGATAAACCTGGAAGGAGCTGAAGATTCCCTGCAGGTGTCCAGTGCAGACTGGTGATGGCACAGGTCACCCATTAAAGGCCAGCCAAGGGGGCCCTCTCTCTCTCTGTGCTGCAGTCACACTGTCACTGGTGCTCTCCAGGTTTTGTGGGGTGATAGTAGGAAATCACATTTTCTTGGAAGGATAATAAAGAAGCCCAAACTCTCTCTGTCCCTGAAAGCTGTCCCTAAAGGTCACACCTGAGACATTGGCAGAGAAATTGCCTTGCTCCTGCTCCTGTTCCCTGGATAAAGAATGGAATTCAGTCTTCAGGGCTGCCAGATTTGACTTAAGTTCATATAAGAGATCTTTTAATTGAAATGTTTGATTAAAATGTTTATTATTCAAACAAGAAACTTCAAGATGTGATTAAAACCTTAAACAAAATCATAGATATTTTTGAGGAAGGGTAAGCTGAATTTGGAGCAGACTTCATGCCACATACTGAGCAAAAGCTACATCACACTCCCTAACAAGGTTCCTGGAACAAATTAAAGAACCAGTTAAGTATCCTTCACAAGAACATGAGATGTCCGAGAGGGATGAGCCAGATGACCTTTTCTCAGTTCAAGAAATGTCTGTTATGCTCTGATGATACATCTTTCTTTTCCTTGCAAGCCCTACAGAATGGACTCTGATAGAATTTTTTGTGACAAGATCCTCTTTAATTACGTCTTTCCTATCACATGGCATGTGCTAAGGTTTCCAGTTGTGTCACGGGCTGAAACTCCTTATGCTAAGACCATATGCATCTGATGATAAAACACAAAAAAACCCTAAACAACAGGTCAAGAAGTTATCAGATACTTCAATGCAATTTCAGTGGTGTATTACAGCAAGGAGTAATATCTAGCTTTCAAAAAATGAAAATCTTGCTTATGTTGCTGGTGAAAACCCGAGTATTTTTGTAGTTACTTAAGAGCTACTGCTGAAAGTATCTGACACCCACCTTCAGCTGCATCTCTGCGGAGAGCCTGAGGATGCTGGGCAGAAGTCTGACTATTCTGTAGCTGCAGAAGGAGCACTGAGAGAAGGGTGTGCTGCTTCTCAGAACTGCCAGAAGATGCAGAATTATCTGAGAGAAAAGGAGAAATCTCTCAGGAGATGTTTGTGCTGTTGATAATGGCTGCAAATGCTGTGTTGGGCTCTATGAGGGGGCATAGCAAACACATGCCCTGGGGGTTTATGCTCTCAGCTGTTGTTCAGTGCATCTGTAGAATCTATAGTAAATAATGAACTCCAGCTCTTTTAGAAGAGCAGCGACATGTTTTCCGTCCAGAATACCTGTAATCTTTGGTTTTGCCGTGCTTATTAGGATAGCATCATCATCTGTCTCATGACAGCAAGTGTCTGGTGTAGCAGGTCACATAATAGAAAGATGTCATGCTCCCCAATTTCAACATCACATCCAGCCTAATGGAGCATTTTTGAGCCCAAAGACCCTTGGACAGTATCCTCAGCATCAAAGCATAAAAGAGGCCACGGTGACAAACTGTAAAGCATATAACCTTTGGCGAAAGCAGTGTCCCCTTCACTTACCTCCAGGAGCAGGCTTTAACGTGCAGGGTGGTAAAAGTCCTTGTGGCCCCCTCTAAAGTCATCACAAAAGAATGATATACTTTACCTGGGTGACTAACCCTGTTTGGAACAGACACAGGGATTTCCTGGAGATGCCTTTCTCTCCTTTGGTGGGCAAGTGAACCCATGTTTTTGATGAAGTCAGAGGAGCTGCCCCTCTGTGTCTTACACATGCCTGCCCTGTCTCCTGTGTGCAGCCTTGTTCACTGCCCTTTGTCCCCATGCCAATGTCAGGCTCCATGTGTTTAAAGGTCCCTGTCCCTGGGAGCAGGCAGCTCTATCAGCACTCCCGAGCTGGTGTGCACAAGGAGCTCCCAGAAAGGGCACCCTCTGCATGGCTGGATATGACAGTCTGAGGAGCAGGGAGATTCCTAACCCTGTTGTTTTTATAACAAGTTCCCTTGCTGCCAAGGAGTGGGGAAAGCAGCTCCTGGAAAACCCTCCAGTTTTCTCTCAGTTCTGTGCGTATGTGGCTGGGGTAGGAGGGCAGCAGAGCAGGGCAGCCCCTGTGCTTACAGACACCCCAGGGCCTCAAAAAGCTGTTTTTTGCCAAAATCATACTCTCTGAATAAACAGAGGAGCTGTGCAGATAGTAAACCTTTGATATTTCAACCTATCACACGTGCAAAGCCAAATGCTGCGGAGAGTAAGTATTCAAGCAGAAAAAGCATTTGGAAAATCTGCAAATGGGACTTGGGCTTGTTTTTCTTGTTAATTCAAAGCTGTCTGCAGCATGTCGATGCTACCTGCTCAGAGTGGTGCATGTCAGGACACTGACCTCCTCTCCGCTGTGAAGCGAAAGGAGCCGTGGTCCCCCTGCGCAGCTGCCCATCAGAGCAGGGATAGGCCAGGCACAGAGACTGGTCCTTGCTTCTGTGATGTGCCCCATCCCCAGTGGGGAATTGGCTGTTTCTGAAATCAGTAGGGGCCTTGCTGGTGTCTTTCAGAGAAACTGGACTGGAAGCTTGACAAGGCAGGAAGTTCATGCAGCTGCACTTGGAGAGCAAAAGCATCGTGGCAAAAGTTGTAGTTTACACTGGAGAGAAAGATTTACAGTTCTGCTGTGTTTCTTTCCCAGGAGGACTGGGCTATCCTATGCACCTCTTTGTGTGGTTTCACAATCAGAAAGCCGATGCAGCTGAAAACCAAGCTGTATTTTCTACTGGATGGAGCCCCTGATCACCAACGCACAAAGACACCAGTGTCAGCACCAGGAGAGTGCATGACCACCCTTTCTGATCACAGCCCATTAGGAAACCACAACCTTCATGCAGAGCTTGAGCCTGCAGACTTGCAACAGCCACATGCTTCTCCATCGCATGGAGCAAAGGTGTATTTTGTGTGAGCATTTATGACCTAAACTGGGCTGATTCATCCATGAGCCACTCCTGTGTGAAGCAGAGGTCATACAGTGGTGGATCCTGCCCTGCACAGTCTCTACTCCTGTATAAGATATAAATAGTTATTAAGCCTAAAAATGTTTACAGTTTTTTCTGTACCTGAAAAGAAACTAGGTTAGGGAGTAAAAAAGCACTTTTCTAAATCTAGCTTTCCCCTAAGGAGAGAGGAAGGTGAACTTTCTGTTCATAGACAATACATGTAAAGGGTTTTCATCAGTGAATGTATCTCATTCTTGTGTTGCCTTGTTACTTGATGAAAACAATGTGCTGGTGAGATCTCTTAACGTTTGCCACAGGATTATGGTTTTAGGGGCATGCTGAGATAACTAGGATAAGCTGGCCTTGCAAGGTTTGTACAGAGACAACCAATATGTTGTATCAGACCAAGTTTAGATTGCGAATGTTGGGCACAGTGTTTCTTGTTGCATTTTCACTTGAGAATCTTTCCACAGTACATGGCTAGGATCCAGGATGAATAAACTGAATTTTACAGTTTCTAGCATTTGCTATCTCCTACCAGCTCAGTTGGAGGAGAGGGAATGGGAAAGGGAGAGTGGGGAATTAATTCAGTTTCTGTTGCCCTGTGATGTTTTTTCTTAAAACACTTCACCTGCCACAACCCTACTGCAGTGCTCTGACTCCAGCACCTCTTCCAGAAACAACACAGGACTGTTGCCACTTGCCATGGTCGCTCCCCAAAACTCTGGCATTGCCAGCAGGTGCCTGCAAGTGGGGGTGTTGCTGCTTGTCAAGATGAACCATAGTAACCAGAGAGAAGAAAGTAGTCTCTGGGGGTTCTTAATATTCCTTAATTCCTGAAGTACATGTGCAGTAAGATAAAAAAAGCCTAAATCATTTTGCATTTTAATAAGTCCTTTGGTGAAGAACTATGATTTCGTGAATCAAGAAGACTGGCAACAGCTGCTGAACCAATGTCAGTATGGCAAAATTTAGTGGCACCCCTCAACTGAGATCAAAAGACAGTCTGCGAAATTGCCTTTGAAAACACGCTTCTGGAAGGAAAAGTACAATCCGGATTTTGGTTTTCATTGTTTATAAACATGGTCATACAGCAGCTTCAACAGCTGACGTTAGGATTGCAGCTGCTTGGCCCATGCCATGCTAAGCTGCTGTGACTTTGGGCAAGAGCCACTCTAAGTAGCACTGTCGTGACTGGTACCAGCAGGAGGCACGAGGAAGGGCCACGCCTCCTGTCCAGCTGTTTCTGTGGCAGAGGTGAGTGTCCCAGCTCCCACAGCCTCTCCTCTCCGACCCTCTCCTCTCCGACCCTCTCCTCTCGCCTGCTGTTGTCCACCAGACCCCCTCCAAGACACCGGTGGGGAGGATGCTCCTGTGCTGAGGCTGCAGCAGAGGCCAAGGGAAGCTGCCACAGGGCGCTCCTTCACTGGTGAGGGCAGTGGTTGTCTTCCCACACCAAGGATTACTGAAATGGACATGCTCATGGTGGAATTTAATTTGAGTATTATCAATACCTTACGCTGCTGAAAAGGAGATCATGAGAACATCTGAAGTTGTCTTTTGTGCAAGCTTAAAACTACACTGTCTGGGATGTGATGAATACTGGTCACAAAGACTCAGGTGACCACCAAGGAGTTAATATTATTAAGATCATTTATTCCTTTTGTAATTCTAAGAAAGCTTTAAGGTTCGTCAAGTGAGCGGCTTCTGTTCCTTTTATCCTGAGATGGGTACACCTACTAGAGCTCACTGCATGTCAGTTTGAAAAAACACATTTTCTGAGCCTTATTTACATGAAAAAAATCCAGATTGTTATAACCATTTCTATTCACATCAAAAGCATTTTTAATTTGCAAGCATTTCTTTGTTATTTCCTGCTTAGACTTCACTACTGAATCTCAGCTGCTGAGAGGGATGCTGGCACGTTGCTTAGCCTTCCCACCCACCCCTGCTGAACCAATGGAGTTTCCATTCCTGCACAGGGATGTCAGGTCTGCCACCAGCAGTCCAGAGACACACACATGCTCAAAATAGCCCCTGGACCATCCAAGCTGAAAGCTTCAACCCCTGGAGAGTCAGGGAACACTGAGATCCAATGTCCCATCATTGCTCTGCCAAGGTTTCCCCATACATGTGTGGGGTGACCATCCCTCCTGCCCCACCATGAGCACCAATGACTGGAGGTAAGAGACAGACACCAAAGTCTCAGCAGGGAGCCAGGAGGAGCAAGAGCTGACAGCACCCAGCTGCTGCTGAAATGCAGCTTGCCTGGCAGCATGCAGCATCCCCTGGGCATCGATGCACCCGAGCAGAGGTGGCAGGAGAGGTGCTGCTGGCAGGTGACGCCAGCCTGAACGGGCTCTGGGTGAGACAACTCAGTGCTGAGTGCTGAGCTGCTGGGATGGGGCCTGGCCTGAGACCTGTACAAACAGAGGACAAGAAGCACCTTTTCAAGGCAGGAACTTGCTCTGGCTGGTCCTGGGAAGGACACGGGAACATGGTTGCTGGGCCTCGCCTGCAGAGCTGAGCTGCAGTGAAACAGGACACAGCCACAGTGCACAGGTACAGGTGCCACTGCAAGACAGTGGAGTGGCATCTGGCCTGGCCCACGGTTCACTGTGGGAGAGGTTCTGGGCCGCTTTTTCTTACTCTGCCCATAGTGTGCTTGTTCGCAGTTGCATCTCTGTGAAGACCCTGCAGTCAGTCACGCGAGATGTTACATAAATCAGTTACTAATTTCTTCAGTGACTGAAATACCAGCCAGCCCCCAGAATGGCTCAGCTAAAGAAGCAAACGTGGCGGGGGTGAGAGAAGGGGACAAGAAACCCCCACGCTAGCCCAGCAGAGCGTGGGGTGCAGGCAGCAGTGGAGGCTGAGCTGAGAACAGGGTTTCCACCTGCCATGGGCTTGTCAGCAGAAGGAAAAATTAACCCATTCAGCATGTTTTAAGCCCAGCTAGGAGCCCGCAGAGCACTGGGCAGCCACTTGATACCAAGCCACTCCCTGCACCAATGGACAGCTCTCCTCCCTCATGCCCAATGAAGCCCCTTTGGCTCTCGCTGCAGTGACCACATAAACTTTTTGGCCATTCAGATCCAAGTGAGGCAGGCAAGGCTGCAACCTGCCCGGGCAGAGGCGATGCCATCTCCTACCCCTGGGGAGGAACAACCCCAGGGACCAACACAGACTAGGGCCAGATGGCTGAGAAGCACAGGGCTGCTCACAGCAGCCTTCTGCACCCCTTGATTCTTTCTTTCTTAAACAATTTGTTTTATAAACACATTAGTTTCTCGGCTGATGCCCTCAACCATTTGGACGTTGCTGTCACTGCAGTGCTCAGCAATGCCCTGTGCCAGGAGGCTGCTCCCAGTGAGCATGGGTTGTCAGCGTGGCTGGGGCTTGGAGCTGGCAGACCCAGCCTCTGCCCGTGCGGTGAAAGAAACTGGATTCAGTGCACTGGGGATGTGGATGATGAGGCTTCAGCAGCCCACAGAAGCCGAGCCAGAGTCTCTTGGATGGCTGTACCTCACTACCAGAGGTCATCCACTTGTTCTTGGAGCCTCGTGCTGTCCTCATCCCTGCCTGGTCTGTGCCTGGCCTCAGCAGGAGGATGGGGAAATTTTGCCAAGGGTCCCGTCCAACCCACGTAGACCTGTGACAGCCTGCCAAGGGTTCTCCCGAGTGTCTGCAGCATCAGAGACTGGCTAATCACTGAGTAATCACACAGACTAATTACAGGGTTACTTTTGCCCTCCACAATAAAGTGCTACCTCATAATTAAAAATAAAGAAAATGGCAATCCTAATTATCAGGCTTTCATTAGGCTGAGGCACACACAGCACTGCAAGGATTGTTCCTGTGACTTGCTCTCAGTCCCCACCCACTGCTGCCTATTACACTCCTGGGGAAGCCCAGGGCAATCCATCCCGCTGAAAACAGAGGGTGAGATGATCATCTCCACGTAGACCTCACCAAATGCCATGCAGATCGAAGGATCAAGAGGAACCTGCCCTTGAGCATCCCTCAAACTTCAATGCCTGCTGCAATCCAACCTGCAGGCTGCTGCTGATGCTCAATCAGCCACCTTAGCAGCTCATGCATTGCAATGTTAACATAACCATAAATTACACTATGTTCCATGTGTTCACATGCACATGGAAGATAATCATAGCCTGGTATGTCTTTGTGCTTAAAATACTGCAGCAAATACACCGTGTTATTCTTCCAAGGTTTCCCGAGCAGCCTTAGCCCGGCACACTGGGGAAGGAAGGGCTGCACAGGGCTGTCTCAGGCTGCCTCTGCCGAGGTGCTGGATACGGGCAACTTCTGCTGGAGGTAGGAGGGATTACAAGTGTCTCAGAGTTCACTGACAGCTGTAAGTTTTGCTCCCACTAATAATGACGTGACAAAATACTGTGTTAAAATTAGTAAGCACTTCTGTGCTGTTTATAAGGCAGTGTAGAAGAGATACCAGGTTATTCCTTTCAGCAAATGCTGAACTCACCTTAAGATTCCCCCATTACAGGAAAGACACTTTCACTCGGTCTGTCTCTGCCATTCCCTTGCAAAATAAGACTTTAGCCAAGGACCTGAAGGCCACAGCTGCACTCAAGGCTCAGGGTGTGAAGGATAAAAATTTGGCTCTCAGAAGTGTCTCAGCCTGGGCAGGCAGTGGATTTGCCCATATTCCTTCATGAGTCTCTTCAGGAGTGCAGTCAGGTCCCATTCACCCACACAGCCATCACCTTCCTCCAGCAATGCCATCAATTTCAACTGGACAAAACACAGCAGAGTTCCCTGCCAAAGAGATGTGCATCCCAGCTGTTAGTCTGTAAGGAAGTGGATCTGATACATCCCAACAAATGGGGCCAGACCTGCCCCATTTCTGGGATGCTGTGCTGAGGACCTGATGTTGAAGGTGCTCCTGCAGTTTTGCACTACAGACAGGCACCTCTGAGGTCTGTTTGCAATGCAGCATTGAAAACAACCAAGCAAACCTGGGGCTGCAGCACTGCCTTTGCCACTCTGCAGGTCAGAACGCTGAAAACCAGGAATCAAAGTGATAAAGTATAAATGTCTGAGAACCAGGGAGAACTTAGGTATGTCCCAAAGGCAGCCCTGCAAGCTGCCTGCAATCTGCAAGCCCATGGGGTGACTGTGCCTCACTGACCCTGGCCCTCTGCCCCTGCTCCCCATCCCTTCCTCCCCCAGGGCAACCCTGCCCAGCCCTGATGCTTTCATGCTTACTCTACTTAAAAGCAGCCAGGAACAGCTTACCCCATGTGTCTAAGGCTATCACTGAGAAGCACCCTGACCTGAACCACCCTCTGCTCTGCTACTCAGTGTGCAGGGATATGTTATCTGAGCCAGCTTTCCTCTTCCTCATGGTTAATCAGTGCTAATTGATTAATTGGGGCTCACCCCCCTCCCCTTTGGAAGAAGAGAGGCAGCATCACTCTTGATGGTGCACATGTATTTGCTTTCAGAAAGCTGCCAGCATCCTTTGGAAAATAGCCAGGTACATTCCCCAGCATAACAAGAAATCATCACGTGAGAGATGGGCAGATGCCTGCCTTTTACTCCAACACCTCTGCCTGGAGTGGGACCAACAGTGACATGCCCAAGTGCTGCTCAGCTGTGACGACCATGTGCTGTCAAGGGCCTTGAAACACTCCTCCCCAGCCTCGTGCCACACTGAGACCTCTCTATGCATTTAGCAGGTATTATCTGGGCCATGTTTTGCCATCCAGGTCCTTCACCTGGGGGTACAAGGGATTGGGAGCACAAAATTGGAATGGAGACTTGGTATATTTACCAGGGGCTGGAGGCAGCACTGGGGAGATCAGCCGGGTGCCCCAGGGAACGGGACAGGGTGGGGCTGAAGGGGAGAGGGGAAGGAAGCAGTGGTTTTCAGCAGCCCTGCCGGAACCTCCCAAGGGCCACGTCATCTTGCTGAAAAAGAGCTCATGTGCTGTGAAAGGTAAAAATTGCCTCTGGGGTTATTTAGTCACTGTCCACAAACTGGTAGTGGGATTACGAGCATGAACATGGTGATCAAACAGCACCCGTAGCACAGTGCTTGGGGGACAGGCTGCTTTTGCTCCCACACATCTCATTCCATCTCATCCCCAGCACTGTGGTACAGGGGATATGCAGCTGGTGGCCCTTGAAAGGCAGCTCCAGCCAGCCAGGCACCCTGCTGCTGAGCCTCCCTCGCCTGCCATGGCAGCGGCAATGCCGGCCTGTCCTCTCCAGCCCAGGTCCAGCCCAGGGGCACAGCTGCCCTGCACAGCACTGTCAGCCTGCAGAGGGATGGGTTGTGCCCTGGGGACATGCCTGGGGGGATGGACTCTGGGCTGGTAGGAGCAGGCTGAGGCTTTTTGATACAGTTATTCCTATTCAACTGGGAATTATCTTGAACATTCCTCCAGAGCACCACGTGGTTTAGAGGTGACACTGTCCTTGAGAACCATCGTTTTGCATGTTTTAACACAGAAAGAAAAGGAAGTCCTCACTTTGTACCACAAGAAAGTGGATGGTAGGAGATCCAAGGGACCTAAGCTTCCCCTGGGCAGAGGGGCAGCACTGCCAGGAAAATAAAGTGAGTTAAAAGGCGTAGTGGTATGCTTCCTTTAGCCACTGAAGGTTGCAGGACATGGCAATTTGGAGATCAGCAAAACAAGATCAGCAGTTCAGGACAGCCTTCCCTGTTCTGCTGTTACTTTCTTTCTAAAACCTCTGAAGGGTGTGAAGCATCAGGGAGGAAGCCAGGGGAGCCGTGACCTGGCATCTGTGTTGCATGGATTTGTTGTTCACAAAACAGGGATGGCAACTAACTGTTTAAAAAGTGGAGGCTGAAGGAGAGGTCACCTAAAGAGCAATCAGCTTTTTCACAGAAAAATAAGCTGCTCGGATTGCTGTGGTCACCTACATGTGTGACATCACAGGACAAGTTAGGAGAGACAGCTTTCTTAAACTCCTTTTTAAGTAACACACCCCAAATGTGGCTTTCCACCCTACATTGTTGTTTCAGGGGAATAAGGTGCCCAGGTCTTCAGGGAGGATTCTGCAGCTGCTGGGAGAAAGGACCTCTAAGGATGTAGACTTGTAACCAGCAGCTTGAATTCTGTCTGTCAAATAAACATCAGTTAGATCTTGCTCTGACTTCTGATGTGCAGTCATTCACTTATCTGAGGGAATTTCAAATGGGCCTGCTGATGGGCATACAAGCACCTGCAGAGCAGCTTTCTATCCTCCTGCTACAGGCAATGGCAAAGAGCCACTCAGAGAGGCCTCTCAAAGTACACTTGTGAAAGTTAATTAATATAAGGGATATGAAAGCTATTACCTGAAAAAACACCAAGTTGCTTTCTGATTCTTTCATTATTAATTATTATTAATAATTAAATATCTTTGGTTTACATATTCAGGACATCTCCAGACAGGTTCCTGCCCCTGAAGTAGTAGTTGTAGAGGTGAAATAAGAGAGGTGTCCAGACCCACACAGCTTGAACTTTGGGGGAAACTGAGCCCATTTTCCCACATTCAGTCCTGAAATACAGTGAAGTGGAAACTAGCAGCAAATTTTGGACATGAATCAGATGTTTCCAGAAACATATGCAATTTCTGAGATCCCAGCTTCTGGATCCCAGCTTCTGGATCAATCCCACCTGTAATTTATAACTCTGTTTTTCAAAAAAGAAGGCAGGAAGCGTTAATTAGCCATAAAGCTCTTGCACCAGCCTTCTGTAAATGGTGTCATAGGACTATCATTTTCCATTCAGCTCTCCAGGCAAGCTCCTGCAGATAGGATCTCATTCCCTCCTGGATTGTTACTGGATTTCAGAGAAATGTTTTGATCCTTGTTACTGTCAGAGAAACTGACAGTGACTAGACAGGTCCACCTGGAAGGCTCTGTCACACCACACATCAAGCACTCCAGCCTTGGTCCAGCAAAGTGACAATAAAGCACATGAAGATTCCCACAGAAGTCAGTGTAAGCAGCCGGAACCCTCTGGATCAAGCCACGAGCAACTCATAAAGGAGGAGCCATCAAGTGACAAATACTGCCATCTCTGGAAATGGTTCTTCAGAGGGATGAAGTGGTGAGTCACAGTCCATAAACTTCTGGTCTGTGACACTGGTTTTCACTGCAGACATTTTAAGTTGCTCCAGTATGTGCCTCACCCTTCTTATTTATAGAAATTAGTGAGGCATTTCATAAAAAAAAAAAAAAAAAAAAAAAAGCTTCCTATGAAAGGAAACAATGACAAAGCAAGAGATATCAGTGGTAAAAAAAAAATACAGCTAGCCTAGCAGAACAGCTATCCTATGGCACAGGCAGGAGAAATTATAAATAGCAGCAGCAGTAGTGCCTGGGAGTTGCATCTTGGCACCAGTGTCTCTGGCCAGCTCTTCCTGGCTCCTGTTCAGAGTGACATAGGAGGGCAGGGCACGGCAGAAAATCCCCAGCAGCCCTCTGACCCCCTGCTCAGGCAGGGCAGGCCCCAAGCACAGCGCTCCCTGGGGACACAGCAGGCAGGCTACCAGTGACACTCGATCCTGGTCAAAACAGCAGTGGAGAACAAGGCTCTTCTTTTAGGAAACACAGTTTCTCCTGGTGCAACTACCTGAAAGGCACAGAGGAAGAGCCCGGAGATAGAGAAGGTCATTGTTTTTAACTGGTTTTCCTGACACTTGAGATGATGATGTATAATTTAGCTTGGCTACGATAATCCCTGTTCACAGCAGGGAGAAAGTCTTTGTGCCACTACTACAATATTGGACTAAAGAATGGCAGGAGGAGAGCCAGAGGAGCCTCCATGGGCTGGCTCTCACACCAAAGCTGGTAACAGAGGGTACCATATATTCATTCCTCTTGGGACTGCTTCATTAAGGATGTAACTATGTTCACAAAAGATAGTGTAGGAAACAGCCTGAGCAGCATTCTATTGCTTGCATATTTTCTCAAAGGTGTTGGGAGACACAGATGTATAAAAGCACTTCATTGCAAGATCCTCATGATATGGGACAGACACAGACACAGACACGGACAAAGACTCAGCCCGGTATTCCAGAGTGGTTGCAGTGGCTTCCCACCTTCTTTCGGGTTTCAGACTAACACACATTGCTGGTGGCACAAGCAACACATCAATTACAACTGATGGACAGCAATCTGGGAGCTCTGGTAATCTGAAATGTGTTACCTAGTTTAGGGTCAGGCCAAGCTCAGCAGATGGGATGAAATTTGAAACAGAATGGATTTTTGTACGATGATGGTGGTGCAACACTGTAACAGGTTGCCCAGAGAGGTAGTGGGTGCCCCATCCCTGGAAATGTTCAAAGTCAGTTTGGATAGGGCTCTGAGAAACCTGATACAGTTGAAGATGTCCCTGACCATGGCAATGGGATTGGACAACATGGCCAGAGAAGGTTCCTGCTAATCCAAACTGTTCTTCGATTCTATTCTGTTATTCTAACTTGCTGACTTGATTGCTTCAAATCCTGTGTCCCTACCATAACATCTGTATTTAGCCAAGATACTCACTCCTGGTTTAACTACCAAGCCAAAGTTCATCCCACCACTGATGTGAAGGTCATCTGCACAGGCATAAGGACTCGATCTCGTTGATTGAGTACAGAGTGCTCAGTACACCTCCTCCAGCCCACCACAGCTGCAGACATACAGATCAGTTGCACTTCTCAGCAGGACTCCAACAGCATAATCCCACTCGCAGCAGAGCGTGGCCATCACATTACTGTCTGGTTGCCTGCCACTCTGGAGAAGAAAGGGTTACTGTGCCAAAAATACAGGACACAGCTTCTTTTCAAGTGATGCCCTCGTTGACATGTTAGTTGTGATAGCTACTGGTGTTCAGTATGGAAATTGTCCCTGGGCACAGATTCATGGCACAATCTGGTTCATGACCTGCACACGGAGGCAGCATGTGCTCCAGCCCCTTGATGGGACATGGCATATTCTGCACTAAATAAGACCAAGCTTGTACCTCTCTGCTCCCAGTTTGTCTTTAAAGCTGATTTCCTCAGTGACTGAGAAACAGTAAGACAGAATCTCCACAATAACAATAGGAAACACTTAAAAAGTAGGCTGTGGCTCAAAACAACCTGCCTGGTAGCTGCTTGCAGGAGAAGGGCTGGGACATGGGAAACTGTGCCAGGCTCTTGAGAGCTGGTAATTCATGTTCTGCAACCACAACCTGGCCATAAACCTCTGTACCAGCAGAGAGTGGGGCAGCAATCTAGGGGCTTCAAACTGTTCAGGCAAGCAGCTAGGGATCTGGCAGGAGGCTGAGTGAAAGACAACGCAATAAATTAAAAAAAAAGTAACTCAGAGAACAGGAAATTGTTGGGTGGGGCTTTTCTTCTGACCATCTTGCAAAGGGGAAAAGGGGGATGAAGAGAAGCAATTTGCAGATTCATGTGGTGTAAGCAGTGCAAGGGTGGAAAGGGAGGCTGCAGAGTGCTCCACCACCAGGAAACACTGGCAGTGAGAGAAGCGAGGGGTTTCACCCACATGGGCAGCTGGGTTCAGCTGGGTTCAGCTCTTCCCAGGACCCTTTGGAGTACCCATCGAGTACTCTGCAGGTTGCTCAGAGGTGCTCGGAAATGGTGCAAATCTGTGCCCTGCCTGCACGAAGAGCTGGCAGTCTGTTGTCTTAGCCAGGACTCAGCATATCCAGAAAATCTTCTTCCACCATGTTTTCTTCCCCCACGGCATAGCCGGGGGGCAGTGAGGAAGGAGCACAGGGTGCTGGCTGCTCAGACTTGCTCTGTTTAGGGTAACAGCAAACTCCTTCCTTCAGGGAAGGGAGTTGCACACCTGCCTGCTGCAGTTTCTCACCATACAACCCCATGTTCTCATAAACCAAGCAATACATGTCAGGGCTCTTGTTCACTCCCTGGCAGTGGGAATTTGTGATATATCCTGGCTATAAAAATGCTGACTTTCATGTGGACCCAGTGATAAGAACAAAGATGGAAAGGGGATAGGCCGGAAAACTGAAGAGCTGAGATGAGTGCCAGGTACAGGTAACTGAACATCAGGTGGAGCATAAAGGCAAATCCTTTTCCAAGGTAACAAAATGCAGAAGAGAAAGACTTCTATTTCAGTGCTCCAGCCCCCAAACCACACCATTTGGCTACAGTGGCAGAAGGCTTCATCTATCACAAAGAAGTAAAGTTGGGGCAAACACATACAGGAAATCAGAAAAGCCAAAGGTGATTAGCAGCAGAGCTTCCTGTAGAGTTGTCTATGTTGGGATGATCATGCCTTCCTGGTGTTGATCCTTCCGGAGCAGAATACAGGATTGTTTCCACTCTCAAAATAGACAGGGTTATTCAGAAAGTGAGAATGAAGAGCCATGGGAAGCCAGTCCTGTTTTTCAGCTCCACATTCCCATAGCCCAGGGGTAGCTGCGGAGACTTCACAGAATCACAGAATGGATAAGATTGTAAAGGACCACTGGAGAGCACCTAGTTCCAGCTCAGACATTCCCCAGAGCATATTACTCAGGATTGTGTCCAGGTGGCTTTTGAATCTCTCGAAAGAAGGAGAGTCCACAACATCTCTGGGCAGCCTGTTCCAGTGCTCTGTCATCCTCACAGTAAAGTTCTTCCTCATGTTCAAGTGGAACTTCCTTTGCATCAGTTTCTGCCTCTCATCCTATTGTTCAGCACCAAGAAGAGCCTGGCTCAATCATCCTGACACCCTCCCTTCAGATACTTATAAACATTGATGAGGTCCCCTCTCAGTCTTCCCAAGCTTCCCCAGGCTAAACAGTCCCAGCTCCTTCAGCCTTTACTCATAAGTGAGGTGCTCCAAACTCCTAATCAATTGGACTAGATGATCTCCAGAGGCCGCTTCCAACCCTAACTAAACCTGTGAGTCTGTGAATCACATCCATGGCCCTCCACTGGACTCTCTCCAGTATTTCCTTCTCCTTCTTGAACTGGAAAACATTACTGGCCACAGCACCCTAGGTGAGGCCTCACCAGGGCTGAGCAGAAGGGCAGGATCACTTCCCTTGACCTGCTGGCAATGCTTTTCCTAATGCACCCCAGGGTACCTTTGGCCTTCTTGGCCGCAAGGACACTGTGCTGGCTCATGAACAGCTTGTTGCCCACTGGGACCCCCAGGTCCTTCTGCTTTCTAGCTGGTTGGCCTCCAGCCTGTGCTGGGGGCCTGTACTTCTAAGGAGCTGTTCTCCTTAGTTTGTGTGGCAATTTTTACAATTACTTCCACCTGGATTTGGGGAGTTTTTGAATTACAACCTGGCAATATCCTGGCTGTGCTCCTGTGGAGAAAATAAGCTGTTAAGTCTGAGCTGCCCAGCCAGCTCTTGCGAAGATGGAGAGGGGGACTGCTTTTATGTACAACAGCCAAAAGAGTGACAACTTGTTTTTGAAGACCAGTACCATGACTGCAGTGGCACTGTTGCACGAGGCAGAGGCTGTTGTTAACCTCCTTTTCACTCCAGGGAAGCTGTGTTGCTGCCATGCAAAGCTGGCTCCAACACAAAGGAGCACAGGGACTGCTGAACAAAACCAGGCATGAGCCCCACAGAGCAGTGCTGTCAGAAAAGACATGGAGGAGTCAGAACTCACCCATCTCTCCCTGCTCAGCTATGCTAGCTAGCATCAGTGCCCTTGGGCTTTGTTCTTTGCTAACATGATATGGAAGATGATTTTGGATCTCCATGCTCACTGTTTACTGCAGATCCCTTGGGAGTTTGCCAGTGCTCTGCACTGACAGTGCTTGGTCATGCCTATGCAGCATGTACCACAGGCAGAGAGCATGAAAACATCAGCAACAGAGCTGAGAGGTGCAGCTGGATGAAAGAGGCTTGTTCTTATGGAGAAAAATATCTGGGAAAAAAAACCCAAAACAACAACTAGAAGAAACCAGTCTATATCCATGTTTAAGTCAGATTCTTGTAACTATCAAAGCCCTGTTGTTTGCCTTTGCATGTCTATCCAAATCCAAGTCCATGTTCCTGAAGACTTTCTCACTCAAGACCACTGAAGTACCTGAGCATCCTGCTCTCAGCACTGGGGCATTTGACCTGTGGAACACCTTTACACCTTGCAATAGGCATAACCCAGGCTGAGAGCAGGGGAAGACAGCAGCAGCAGATTCCCACCCAGTGAAGATCTGCACTGGGATGGCTGTCCCTGTGCTGACTGGATCCCCTCCAGTGCTGCATGCCCAATTCAGTGTCATGTTTGGCAAAAGTGTTGAGTGCCTCTGTGCCACAAAGTGCATCACCCAGCTCAGTCTCTGACACCCTGCAACAGCCAGAGCCATTTACCACTTTTCTGAGTACTTTTTGGTCTGCATTTCATAAAGGCAAGAGGCTTGCATAATCCTGAGGCCTGACTGCCTGTTTTTGTCCTCAGTATCCCTAGGGTAACCTTGATCAAATTTCGCCAAGATGCCCCAGATACACTGGAGTTCTGATAAATTTACTGAAAATTGGTGGCTGGGCAGAGAAGAAAGAGAGACCCACATCAGCAGCCCTGTCCACAGAAGGGAGGCCAAGCTCACCTGGTAGGAGCTGGGTTTGGTGGCAAATGACGTGCCACTCAGCACATGCACAGGCCACCCTTCAACACGTAGGCACAGCTGGGGTGGCCATGCCACCACCTCTGGCACAGCAGCAGTATTGCTGGCAGTGAGATAGATTTCATGGGCCAGGCAGCTCAGCAGAGGTTGGAAGTCTGTTTTTATCCATCCCACCACTCAACAGCTTGTTTCCTGATGCTTTTAAAAACTGGCAGTTTGCAGTGCATGAAAAGACAATTCCTTTTTCTTTGTATATTTCTTTGAATTGCTTTTGCAATGACATTTTTAGTAGCTGTTTCCATTTAATTTTCCTCTCTCTTTGGGTTTAACTGTGCTCATGCTACCACAGTTAAGAATCACTGGCCATTTAATGGTTCACCTTTCACTTTAAACAGACATGTTTAGCGTATTGCTTGTCCGTAGGCCACATCCTCAGCGGCTGACAGCTAACATTCTGTGTTTGTTCAGGGGGGTCTGTCACTTGTACAGACAGAGTAAGTGCAGATCTGGGGGAAGGGTGCATGTGAGTGTAATGGGAACCAGGATGGAAGGGTTTGCCTCAGAGCAACTCAGGATGCTTCCCAGACTATGAAGGCCAAGCAAAGAGAGTGTCAGAGATGTTTTTAAAGCTCTTATTTTGAGTTTAGTCTGTAGTGCTGGGCTAGATGTAACCACTTCCATGCTCCCTTTTTTCCTGTCCCCTTTGGGATGAGTTATAAACAGCCCTGATGACATGCTTTGCCCTCCTCTTCTCCTCCCAGCCCCTTGGCTCAGTGTGGAACAGAGCTCGTGCTACACCACATCACACCTGCAGGCACCCAGTTCTGGCCAAGGCTAAGCAAGGCTGGTGTTGGAATAGACTGCTGGTAACTCATTTCTCTGGACCCAGTCACCCATGTCTGGCTCTCTTACGACATCTACCAAACACGTCAGCCTGAGGAAGGAAGCCCTCACCAAGCAGTCATTGGGAGGCTCCCCAGTGAGCTTGCATGGGAACAACATACCATCACAACTAAGGGTTTGGGATTTCTTACCAGAACACCCATAAGCTGGGCAGTGCATGCAAGTTATGGATGGACACTGAGGTATGGATGCTCAGAGCACATTTCTAGAAGCCGAAAAGCACCAAAACTTTCAGATGCCTCTAAGCCACCCACAAGCAAGCAGCATGTGCCACAGGCTACAGCATCCAGTGCTTTTGCTCTGCTCCTCTGCAGGGATGACTGGGACTAAAGCAGTCCTAATCCAACACGTGCTTGAGAGTAACAGTCTGTTTGCTTCAGCTCCCCGGTGTCAAAGGCAGTGAATTGTAATCTTTCCTAGGAAAGATAAGGAATTTGTTCAGTGTTACATAATTTGTTAACTTTTGCTTTACTTGGCATTTTGTTACCTGTACCTTGGGGCTGCAGGTGACTGGACAGGTTTGACTCCCTTGCCAGGGGGAGCAGAGTCGCTCTCAGCTGGGAGAAGAACAGCCCCAGCCAAGGACCACCTCCAGATGAGCACTTTGGGTTTGTGGTTATCTTAGTTGGTAGGAGAGCTCTTGCTCCACCTCCAGCCCAGAGCTCTTCTTCCTCTGCTCACTTTCTTTCTTTGCAGATTCATATGAAGCGCAAGGGGAAAGATGCAAACCTGGAAAGAGGGATGGAGACAGCCCTAGGGGTCTAAATTGATGACCTTACAGAACATAAAAAACTAAGAATGTTTTATCTAACACTGATAACTTGGCAGCAGTGGGATGGGAATTTGGGTCTTCAGAGAGACCACGGTGCTTAGCCAGAGACCCACCACCTGTTTGCCACACCAGTTGGACCCTGCCCTTCTGTGAGGCGAAAGAGGACACAAACCAAACATGTTAGACATTTAGTCCTGCCCCAGGCACCTCTTATAGCTCTTGCTCTGGAGGGTCTGCTCCCCCTCCTCTAGGCACTCATTGAAATCTGCTTCCCAGCCCCAGGACCTCAAGTCCCTCTTGACACATCATCTCTCTCTTCAGTCCTTTCACCAACACTCAGCCCTTTAATCTTTCTCCTTTGCTTCTACTCTCCCCATTTTTTTGGGGCAAAACAGAGTGACCAAAAGATTAATGTTAATTATTCCTCCAGAATTTTGCTGCAAATGACATAGTTCCACAGGAGGCCATAAGGCCAGTTAGCATTTTATCAGCACAGGGACAGCCTCCCTTTGTCCCAGGGCCACACACCCTGCTGCTATCTTGTATCAGCTCTGACTCTGGGAATAGATCTAAGTCACTAAAACATCCCAGACTAACTCACTGCGAAAAATAAAATCCAACCACACAACCAACTGGCCCTTAAGAAGGAAGTGGTCAGGATTTCATGGGCTGGAGAACAGGAGAGAACCCTATGGACAAGGGAAGAAGGGAGCAAGAACAGGGAATGGTCCTTCTCTTCTCAGTGGCAACCAGTCCCTGGGTATGTTCAGCCAACAGTGGAACCACAAAAGGTCAGTCAGTGCCCTCTAAAGGATGCCTGGGCAGGGCCACACTCCCAAGTCTGCAAAAACACCAGTTTGGGCCATAATGGGTCCCAACTGTAACCCAAAATGCTTTGGAAGCCAGAGACACTACAAAATTCACCTCAACAGAACAGTTATTATGATATGTAACAATGGCAGCACCCTACTTTCCACCTCATTCAGGTAAGAGCAGCCTGATAAGGCAGATATTGATGGCCAGTACAATCCCTTTGAACCAGGAGGAAAACTGTTGTGGTGTCAGTAATGAAAAGGGGAACAGGGTCAGCTTTGGCCAGAAAGTCCACATCATGCTATGGGCAAGCAATCTGGCTTTTTTCACAAGCGAGGGCCACAGTTTGACTATACAGTACATTGGGCTGCAGTGTCCTAAAACTGTGTTAAAGTGCGTGACATGAAGTATTTACTGAAATAAACTCCTCATGGTGGAACACTTTGCCCAAACAATTGTCAGTTTTACTCATATAGGCAGAAGCTTTATGCAGGTTCTGTCAACTGTGTCTGGGTCAGGGTTTCATGGCAACTCATATACAGAACCTTAGAACACTCTGAGTTGGAAGGGGACCCACAAAGATCAAGTACAACTCCTGGCCCTGCACAAGATCTTGGATGTTTTGTCATCTGTTCCTTTTTGTTCTCCAATTACCCCTTTATCCTCCATGTCACCAGCTTCCTTCAAATACAGGAATGTATCAATCCTGTTTGCATCTTCTCTCTGCTACGTGCAGGTCTCCTCCTGCCTCAGATCTCAGGTCTTGTGTCCAACTCTAGGAAATGCTTGCCCAGATCCTCCTGCCACTAATGCAAATTCACTCAGGAAATGTGAGCACAGCACAGATACTGTGCTGGCAGTGGGAGACAGGAGCCTGGCAAGCAGATCCTTAGGTGGGCCAATAGGTATTGACCAAGGTGAGAAGTGAGAGTTCAATCAAGCCAGCACAGACTCAACGTAAGCTCATTCACGTATGACTCTCATTTTGAGGGTCCCATAAAGGTTTATTGTCACCAGCCAACTCCTCATGCTGTGCATGAGCTGTGTCTCCATGCTCTCCACACTCCTTCCTCAGCAGACATCCTTCCCATGCCACGCTGCCAACGTGGACCCAGCCCCAGTGCTCAGACCAGGCTGCAGGAGGCACTGTGTGGCCACACACAGCCCAGCCTGGCCCAGCCCTGCCACCCACCCTGCCTCTCTGTCCTCCCTCAGTTTCACTCAGGTCTGTGAATCTCATTCTACTTCAGTTTCGTTTTGACTTTTGCTTTTCCTCTCTGCAACTCATCAGACAGTCCCTGCAGTTTTCTTTGGCTCACCATGTGAACAGAGATAATTAGTCACAGGCTGTCAGGGCCTGCAGGACTGCACTACAGGAGGTACAGAGAATATTGGCAGGATCTGGGTTAGAAAATCACAGGCTACTAATTCAAAGGTGGTAGAATCACAATAAAATTGTTAAAGGACGTGGACTGAGACCTGTGAGAAAAATTTGGGGCAGAGCATCATCTGTAAGAAACACAGAAATTTGTCCTGCATAAGGAAAATCTCAAGTCATAGTGAGCAGATAAAGAAGTTTATAAACTAAAGGAGTAGATAAGTTTATAAGCTAAAGGAGTAAACTGACCAAAGCATATTTTGCTATTTGGTCCTTTTGGTTCTCATGGTAAGAAAATAAACTGCAGCTGGTTCAGTGAAGGTCCATGTTTTCTCTCAGGTAACACTCTCTTATGCTACCACAATCAGCCTTTTGTAGAGGGAATATACACACAAAATTCCCACAACACAAAAGGGCTGGCACTTCATCATGCAAACAGTGTGCACGTAGCACAGCAATAGCAGCTCCCTCTGAAACAGAGAATCACAGGTTGGCATATGCTGGCACAAAAATCACTATCCCATACACGTGCTAATTCAGCAATGCCCACCTGAAACAGACTATCTGTTCATGCCAGAGTTCAGTCCAGTCTGACCCGCTTCCTGAGCCAGCACCACAGACCAGAACACTTTCAAATGCATATACTGGAAGACAGACATGTCTCTGTTAGAATAAAAGTACTTCAAAAAGAAAGAAAGAAAAAAAAAAACAAAGCCAAAAACCAAACAACCCCCCAAAGACAACAGAAAACAAACAAACCAAGCCCAAAGCAAAAAACAAACAAGCAAACAAAACCAAAAAAAAAGAAAAAGGGAAAAAAATGTCCTGCGCTTTTACTGGAGATAGAATTAGAAGGAACTGCAAAAATGGGAACTTGGGTCAGAGATTAAGAAAATAATTTCCAAGTTAAGGAGAGTAAAGCCCTGGAATAGACTGCCTTTGAGATTACTGAATTAGTATCCTTAGAGAATTTCTACGAAAAAGCTTGAAAAATCTCAGTTGGGAGGATACAGTGTTCTCATTTGGGGCGGGAATGGAGTCAGAACACCTACCACGCTTCTTTCCTGTCTCTTCCCTGCACTCCCTACCATCTCCCCCCTCAAATTCTGCATCTTTAACAGTCTACAATCTAGGTGCTTAGAAATATGGCAATAACTGTTTCCTAAGTACACAACACTTACCAGTCACTATGTGGAACTTTGAGGACAATCAGGAACAGCAGCATGATACATATTTTTTTTGATTGGACTACTCTGGATCCTAAAGAAGAAATAATGTAGCTACTGATGAAGGGAGCAAGCCTCAGAGCTAACCAATTCTGATTCTAGCTAGTAAAGGGCAAACACAAACCTGTTTTTCACAAAACCTTCATTTGGTGGTTTTCTAAGTGAGGGGGGTGGACTGTATCTGGCAGAGGATGTGGCTGAGAAGAGGTGGCCGTATTAGGGACACGGATGGAGCAGCACAAAGCTCACTCTTGGGAAAGAAGAAGGGGTGAGAGAGGACAACCATCAGGAGGCCCAGTGCAGCTGAGCCTGTCATCAGAGCAGTCTGTGACAGCCGGGCATGGACTTGCCCTGCTTCGGCTCTCCACTGTCTCTCTCCTCCAGTCAGTCTTCCCAGAGCACCTCCTTGCCCAGCCTTGGCTCTGGTACCTCTTCCTTGGCACATCCATCTTTCCAATCCTGACAGTATCTCCCAAGGCTTAATAATTAACCAGTTCTTAGAGAGAGGAGAGGGAAACAGAGTATACTCTTGAAGTGTTATGAGGGGAAAAATGCTGCAACAGTCCTGACCAAACTTAGCTCAGTACCTTCCTATTTCCTCAACTGCACTTGGCATTGGAAAAAACAATCCCACTGCACAAACTTGTCGCTTTGTTTGCCTCAGGCACATTATAAAGTAATTAACTATTACCTTTCCCGTGTCATGACTGCCTGAGAATGACACTTCTTTCCCTGTTCGTTGCCAAAGTGATTTCTCCTTCACAAGTTCAGTAAAGGAAACAGACATACAGTTCTTTGTATGAGTGAAGAACAGTCCCAAAAATAAGAAAGCAAAATTGCTTTTGCCCACATTCAAGAAAACTCAAATTACAGAGCTCTAAGGTCTTGATGTGGGGTTTTTCCTTGTTTTTTTTTTAATTTTTTTATTAAACAAATTACTCAGAATTTGAGTTTGGCTGGGCTGAAAAGATTATCTAGCACTGAAAAGACTATCTGGACTAAGTAGGCTACCAAAAGCAAACAGTGTTATCAGCACGGCACTCAGTTTAAAGAAACTGGCACTCCCCTTCAAAAGGTACATGTTCTTCCTTATCTCTTTAACACACACCATCAAGGTTTTAGCTTTCACAATGTCATTTTAGCACATGGCATTGCTCTGTGGCTGAACAGAAAAGGAAAACGCTGAGATGTGAAAATGATCAAGCAGTTCCTGAAGTCAGAAACAGTTTGTGTATTCTGAATAATAAACCTTTCTTTTTAACATTAACTATCAGCTGTGTTAAATAATAAAAAATTGATCTTCAATATTGGCACTTGACAGATACAATTTAAAAATGCTTCCTGTGGCTAACTATAAAGCTGGTTTTGTATAATTTTCAAGAGTTTAGTTCAATCTATCACGTATCAAAAAGTCATAATTCCTAGGCAATAGACAGAAAATTTACTGAAGTCTGAACAAATTTCAATAACTGCCCTACTTCCATGACAGCCTAGAATAAAAAAAATAATTGCATTCTCAAATCATAATACCACTGGCACTAAAGAAAAATCTTGTATCTGCCTAGAGCTTTAAGTTACAAAGGATCTTTATTTAACTTTGGTAGGGCTTATGTTTAGAAAACATGTATCTGTGTAGCCTGAAATATTAATCAATTGCTGTCAGCGAAAAATATTGTGCAAAAATTATTCTTTTCCCTATTTGTTAGTTCTATGAATATTGAGTTGAAAGGAGGCAACACATGCATCAGGTAACTACTTTTACCTTGATTGCAAAACCACTGAAGATTTACAATTAAACAGTTACTGCCCCTCATTCAATTCCTGTTTGACTTAGATTCCCTGAAGCTGACAAAGGAAATACAGAGTTATATCTTCCAGCTAAACCTCAAACCTGGCATTTCAAAGAAGCAGTGTCTGCTAAGAAGGACAGCTTCCAGGCCCAGCCACACACATGTAACACCTGCAAGGACAGGACATGCACTGGGCTGATGAGACATGCTTGCTACAGCAACTTTTATCAGCCACCATACGGAATTTGAGAGCAGCAGAGCTACAGTGGATCTTGAAGGGACCCAGATGAAAATATCAGGTAATATAAGGGCTCTCCTGCCAGGATCCCTCACAGACCCTAAATGTCATCGGGGCTCCGGACTGCAGTTCTGGGTGGGCAATTGGCAGAACTGAGCACAAGCATCCAAGTCCTCTATGGGATTTAATCCTAAATTACTAGCAGAATTTTGCAGGACCAGAATCTAAAGTTTAATGAAGACCTTGTGCCTCAACCACAAAATCATCCCTTCTTGTTGCCTTAAAACACTTAGGCCACATCTTGAAAACTAAGTTTGCTACAGAAGAAGGACAAGATAATTGTTTTGGGCACCACAGATAACTATACCTATCTCCTACTTCAAAAGGGTTTTCTCTTATAAAGGATAAATAAAGCCCCATTTAATAATTTTGAGATTATAAGGGTGGTGGTGAGGAGGGAGTACATATCAAAACTAACAGTTATATCCTTGCTTCAGGTCAAAGCCAAAGCAGTGCAATCCCAAGATGCATATATACTATTTTGCCAAAAGAACAAATACTGGACATGATTAATTAGAAAGTTCCAGTGCTTCTGAACAATAACTTGAACTTTCCTGGATATCCATCTAAGGCTGAGAGTGCATTTTTACTGCCTTACTAGCATTTAGTGTAAGAAAACTCTGAAGTTATACGGTGTTAAGAGGCTAACTGCAAGATCACCAGAAAGGCCCTTTCTGCTGAACAGAACTTGCAAATTTAAAGAATTAAGTTGGGTAAGGAAGGAGATATGCCTTACCATGCTCTGGGCTCTATCTTGCTATCGTCCAGAAGTGCCCAGGGCAGAAATGGAGCAACCTAACTCTCAAGAAAGATCAGGAGCATGCCAACGAAAGAAGAAACATGTAAGAATATGCCCAAGTGCCAATGACAGGGACAACAGCAGTATGAAAAAGGACAGTCTGGGGAAAGGAGACATGCTGAAGAACAGAACCATGTAAGAAGGGAGAGAGCAGAAACAATGCACAACACATCCTAGGGAGGGCATTATAAACCAGTATTTAAACTAGAGAAGTTTTTTTTCCTATAAAAATCACAGTTTAAATTTTAACACATCAAACCTCACTATAAGAACTTGCTGACTCTGGCCATCTGCTTTACTCATCTGAGAGAAGCCACCACAGCTACAGCAGGACGTGTTCATTTGTCAGCTGCTCCAAGTGCAAGTCAGTACCTGTTTAAAGCCAGCGTGCCAGGGGACACAGGGAGATGCCAACTCTGCCACGGGGTTGGTCACCTCCAACAAGGGCAGTGAAACTGCAGCAGTTGCTGAGTGCAAGGGGGATCCTTCACATGTGACAGCAAAATTCCACAAGTACTCACCTCTCTAGCTCTATTTGAACCTGTAATGACAAATGCTGATCAAAGATGAATAAAACAACGTATGAAACATAAAACAAGACAATAAAATAAAGTGCAAAACTGCAGACCATTCTTGCTCTCTTGAAGCTGTGTAAAGACCAAAGTAGAAAAAAAGACATACATAAGAAAAACTATATTAAACATAACAGAGCTGTTATCCCCAAGACTTCTGCATATCCACTATCTGCCTTCCTGCCTTTACACTCATAGTAATGTTTAGCACAAGTGTAAGTACTTGCACATTTGTTTTGCAGGAAAGAAGCAAATTTTGATTTGTTACTTTGCGAAAATCTGAAACATGTTTATTTAGCTGGTAATAAAAAAGCCCATAGAATTCTAAATGATAGGAAAATATTTTCACTTCTTGTGAAAGGCTTCAGGGGTTTTTTTAGGACTAGGGAAGCTCGCTAAAAATAAGAGTATGCCTGCCACAGGTTTCCCAAAATCCGTAGGACTACCTTGGTGTTTAAGGAAAGACTGGACGTGGCACTCAGTGCCATGGTCTTGTTGACAGGGTGGTGTTCGGTCACAGGTGGGACTCGATGATCTGAGGTCTTTCCAACCTAATTCATTCTGTGATTCTGTGTGTGATTCTCCCCGAAAAATACTGTATATGGCACAAGTCACGACACTGACTTGACAAGCTTCTATCGTTGCCTTACATCACCTCTGAAAACTGCTCGGGATGACGCCGGAGACGCCACACACACAAAGACGTGAAAAGATGCTCCGGAAACTCCCGGTACCACGCAGCCCACAGCCCGAATTCCAGCGTTTTGACAAAAAACACAGCGATAAAACACGTTTAACTCAAGGAACGGCCAGAGCAGAGCGCAGACACCGCTAGGAGCAGCTTATTGCTTGTTGACAACACCCACGCCGGAACCGCCCCCGCTCCCAACTTTCCTCCGCTCCCCGTCCCCGTCCCGCGCACGCGCCGAGCGCCTCCGCAAGCCCCGCCCCGCCCCGGCCCCGCGCGCGCGTCCTTCCCCGGGGGCGGGGCGGGGCGAGCGGCGCACGCGCAATGACCGCTAACCCTCCCCCCGCGCCCCCCGCCGTTGGTCCACCCGGCCCGCACGCGCACTCGGGCCCGCCCGCCTCCCCCCGCGCCGCGCACATGTGCGCGCTCCCCCGCGCACGCGCTCTGTCGCCGAGCCGCCCCCCCGAGCGCGCTGCCCCTCGTGACGCCACCCGCGCGCAGGCGCGGCCCGCGCACCACCGCCCCTCCTCCCCGCCGCGCCCTCGCGCATGCGCTGGAGCCGCCTCCCGGTGCCGGCCGCGGCTCGTGTCCCCGCCCCTGCATGCGGGTGCGCGTGCGCGGCGCCGTGCGTGGCGCGCGGCGCGGCGGGGGCGGGGGGCGGGGCGGGTATATATAGAGCGCGGCCGGGGCGGTGGCCGCCCCCTTGTCCCCCGGCCGCCGTCGGAGCTGTGTGCGCAGTGCGTGTGCTCCGGACCACCCGGACACGCCGGCCCGGCCCCGCAGCACCATTTATTACTAAAAAAAATATTTAAAAAAGCCAAAAAAAATCCAAAAATCTTAAAAAAGCCTTTTTAAAAAAAATAATAATCCTCTCTCCTCATCCAACCTCCCCGAACAACCTTTCTGCAAACGGCCGGTTTGATATAAAATAACCCGGTGAAGCGAAGCCCCCGGACCCGGCGCAGCCGAGAGGAGACACAAGAGCGAGCCCGACCCCGCCGAGCGCAGCACCCGCCGCCAGCTCCGCCCGGCCCGCACGGAGCGCCCCGACCCCCGCCCGCCCATCCGCCGCACCCGCCGCAGCCGTTGAGTCCGAGCGGCCCCGCGCCGCCTCCGCCGGCCCCGCTCGCACCGACCGCCGCGGCCTCCGCCTCGTCAGCGCCCCCCCCGCGCCGGGAGACGGCGGCAGGATGAACCCCAGCGCCCCCAGCTACCCCATGGCCTCGCTCTACGTGGGGGACCTGCACCCCGACGTGACCGAGGCCATGCTCTACGAGAAGTTCAGCCCCGCCGGGCCCATCCTATCCATCCGCGTCTGCAGGGACATGATCACCCGCCGCTCGCTCGGCTACGCCTATGTCAACTTCCAGCAGCCCGCCGACGGTGAGTGCCGGGCCGCGGGCGGCGGCGGAGCCATGTTTGTCCCCTGCCCGCCGCCCAGGCCGCCGCCCCGCATCCATTTTGCCGCCCGGGACGGGGCGGCCCCGGCGGGGCGCGGGGGGAAGTTGGCGGCAGGGCCGGCGCTCACACGCGGCCCGGGCCGCCCGCCCCTCGTGGCGGCCGCAGGAGCCGGGGGGGTGGCGCTTCGGTGCACCGGGAGCGGCCGCGGGGCCCCGGCGATGGGCGGGGGAGCGGCCGGGGCCCGGCGGGGCTGCCCCCGCTCCCGGGGAGGGGGCTGTGGGTGAATGTGCAGGCGGCTCTCCACGTACGTCCGAGGTGAAGGGTGGCTGGGGGAGAACATCGAGGTCCTTAGCGCCTTTTAATGACCGCGCAGGGGCTGGGCGTGTGTGAGTACGTGGTTCGGAGGCCGGCAGGAGGAAGTAGGACGCACCGGCGTGGCCGGGCAGATAAACTGGCGGCCAGGCCGGAGCGTTTGTTGGAGCACCATGGCAGGTCTGTCACGTGCGGGGAGGGCATGAAGCTGCTCGGGCCTCCTTGTGCTCGCTCCTCGTGTGGCTGTGGCCCGAGCTGTCCTCTGATTCATTTGTCTTCTCAGTAAACTCTCTGACGTGTTTCCCGAGTTGTGTTTTTTATGAAACTTGCTTTTTCACGAAGTGTTGCTGCTACTTTAAAGTTATATGGATAACGAAACTTTCCGTGTAGTTCTGGCCATGTTGGCAATACAGCTTGTTCACTTGGAGGATGTTTCCGTAAAAGAACCAAATGTGACTGGTTTTAAGTTTTATGGAGTTCAATTTACAGAAAAATACTAATTTGCTCATTAGAATATAAGTGATTTTAAGTACAGTCAAGTAAGCAGCTTTCTATTGTAATGGTTTTATTTTCAAGCATATGAAAGTGAGAGACTTAAATTACAAACTTTTTAAGCAATTAGATTAACTGGCTCTCAGAATTGGCTTTAGCATACAGCCATTATCAGATCAGACTTTGGTGTACCGATGATATCTGTATGTAAGTAGTAGAAGTTAGTGCCTCATCTTAATAGGCAGATATTCCGCTTGTTATCAGCTCTTTCCGTTCAGAGAGCTTTTGATTTATTCAACCATTGTTTAGGGTGAGACAATTTGAGTGCTTATTTTGACATACTTGCTTTCATTCAATAAAAGCATATGGTACAGTTTCTCAAAAAGAAGGGTCAGTACATTGATATGATAATGTCAGGGCAGAGATTGAAGGTAATTCAAATGCTTCTCCTCCTTAGTACTGACAGAATCCTGTAAGGGCCAACTTTATCATTGTCATTAGTTGAGCAACCAGTACATTTTGTGACTTAGTTTGTAATTTGACAGATGTAGGATCAAATACAGCTTTTTCACCTGAACAGAGCTTAATTCAGAGAGAACTTGCCTCTTAGAAAGGTGCTGTTACTCCAGATGTTATAACTATTTTTCTGACTTTGGCAAACACATGTATTTTTTTTATAACTAGTCCAGTTCAGCTAAAAGTATTTCTGATCTGTATGAAACCTGCATCTGACATGTATCTGGAAGCACTTGTTTACAATATGCTTCAATGACACTGTGTGATTATACTTTTTTCAACATTTTTAGAGTTGGATGTTTTTGGCAAATACCTAAAAAGTATTTGCTGGTCTTGCAGATCGTTCTATCTCTTTACTGAAACCTTGAAATAGGAGCTCTGAGGGTGAGTGGCTATTCTTGCAGTGATGTGGGTTTCATTTTGATTCCAAACTACCTTTTCTTGGTTTAGCCAAATTTTTAGCTACATCTCAGGCTATGCCTATTAAACAGGCAGTAACAACTAGCTTGGGTTTTGAAAAATGTTTTTGAAGGTGTGCTTGGCACTACCAGCTGTCTGTAAACTAGGGATCTTAAAGCTCTTCTAAAAACTAATTAAACCTGATGACACATTTGTGAGGTATGCACATGTTTCATAGTTGTGACTTTTCTGAATTTGAGTCAGAGTCTGGAGTAAAACTCTAGGCAATCTTGTTTAATCACTAAACTAGACATATTCTTGAGTAGTCTGAAACTGCACTACTTTGAATTTTTAGAAAGGTTATCTTTCCAGAGGTTAATTATTTAGCAAATAGCTATTGCTATTTGTGTTTAGCGTGGGTTAGCATTAGGGATATATTCTGTGTGATTTTGAAATTGTTAAAGTGGACTGTCCAGTTGCTCACGACTAAAATGGGAGCTGGTGAGTCATTCAGAGCTCCAGCAGAATCAGCAGAAGTACAGCCCGG